CATATGTGCATTAAAAAAACATGTCACCTCTCTGATTCAGGCCCAATCTGTCCCTGTCTTCAGATCTTCGTATCAACTGTCTGTTCACACAATAACAGCATTTGCATGGTACAGCTCCCATCTGCAGCAAAGTGCTGCTTAGATATAAATCCTACTCTATCATTTGAATCAAAGCTTGGGAAAACATTGCAAGTGCTGTAGGTTTGCATAAAGTTGACTAGCTTTAATATATATTATATTAAAATAAGAAATAGTAATTAATAGTTTTGGTGCCAATCTTACTAAGTTTTGCCTTTAACAGACTTCAGAATTAAGTAAAAAAAAAAAACACAAACAGAAGGTAGATTGAAAGTTACTGAATGTTGGAAAGGAGAATGCAAATATAGGTAAAAATTTTACAGTAGTTCATTAGTCACTCTTTAATTTGCTTTACTGTCAGAGAGTAAAAGAACAATGCCCCTCTGTTAATGAGAAGACAGTTTGTTAAAAAACAAAACCTTCTCTGCTGTGCTCAGGACTTCTCAAGTGTTTCCAGTTGTCTGTTATTTTAATGCATTTTTTTTGTATGTACTGTACTGATATTTTAACTGTGTATATGTGTTGAATTTGTTTTGTTTTACAGTTGTACAATTTTGGAGAGACAGTTTCTATAGTTTTCTGGACGGACACATGGAAGCCAGAAAGCTTTTTTGACAAGATCAAGAAGAACAGGCAGAATGGAATGCACACACTGTGCTTACTTGGTAAGCAGCAGCAGTCCCAGTTCCTTAGCTACCATCTTCCAGTGTCCCAACAGGCATGAGATGAAGTCTGTGATTAAACAGAGGTTCTTAGATAACGTATCTTTGAAAATATCTCTTGAATTGTAACTTCAGTGTATGTTTACTTAGAATCAGTGTAGCCACTATTCATGCTGCAGTGGCCAGAAATTTCTTAATTCATCTTCAGAAAACCTATAAGAAATGATGCCTTTGTAGAAGACAAATAGGAACAACAGGCCTATATTTGTTGTAATGATCAGAGTGATTTTAAGCTAGATGAGCTCAGGATCCAGCCAAGATGGCAATGACTAGCAGCCATATTTTATTGACTTAATTAGGCAAGAGCTTGACACATTTGACTTTCTGGGGAGCTAAACAGTACATTTAACCACATTTCTATTTTGTGAGTTGATATTCTCTTCTCTAAATTATCTCAGCTGATGATGTTTTGGCAAAAGGTGATTGTCATGTAAAAAGGTTCAGGACTGCAAAAATCCTCGCTCAAAAACGTCTGTGGTAATTGGAGGAAGCCAGAAGAGGAATATGTGTAATCATCACTGCACATCAAACTTTTCAGTGCCTTGAAAGTTGGCTGTTTTCCAGCTTTGTGAAGTATGAGAATATTGGCAATTGTTCTAAGGAAGGATGACTTCACGAGGACTATTCCAACCACAATATATTAAAACCAAGTATTATTCAGATTTTTCGTATAATCATTCCTATGTGCTCCCTTTTTATGTTTCTTATTTTTTTCTAATGCAGTACTGAAAGTGTGTTAAAATATTGAAACAATAAAATTGAATTATAAAACTCATGCTTCAGGGACAGATGTAATACCTGCATCTGATTGTATCTAACTGCTGAAAACTACCAATCTCCAAGTTAATTGTTCCCTTGACAATGGTCATGCTGGTCTATCTATTGATTGCTAATCCAACTAGATCAGATTACCAGGAAAGCAACAGTGACATAATAAAGATCAGCTTCAATACACTTAAAATTTCAAAGCAACTTCACTTACATGAAAGCAATTTGATGAACTGTGCACTAATAATCTTGCAGCTTTGCATTTTAAACCATTTCTTCAGAGTCACCTTGGCTTACAGTGTGAGTAAGCAATACTTTTAAAATCAAGATTAAAAAAATGTATCCAGCTTTTACTACAGTATTATTTCTCAAGCATTTAAGTATAGATAACATCTGATGGTCACTTGGAGAGATTACGATCAAGTGCAGTTTCATAAACTTGCAGATGTTCAGAGTCTTACCTGGCCCTTTTTCTTTGCCCAGATTCTCCTTTTTCCCATAAGAGAAAGATTGTTCTAAATTTTGATTGGGACAGCGAGGAAGTGCTAACGAAAGTTCAGTTCTTGCATGGAGGTGATGTAATCACTGTCGATCAGTCGTTTGGTTTCACCTTCTGTAACCACAACATATTTATAATTTCAAAGTAGTCACAATACCTTGGTTTTGTGCCTAAGCATGCAAGCATTTAGTTATCCTGTGGGAAATATGCCTACCATTTTTAATACTTAGCAATATTTTTTATTGATCTTATCTGCTCCGAAATTTGTGATACTATACATTGTCTTTGAGCAAAATCACATGCATGAAATCACATTAATTTCTTTATAATTAACACATGAAACAAAATGTAATCCATATTCCATTTTCCTTTAAGAACTAGAATGCTGCTATAAAGTTTATAGAATATCCTAACCTAAGCTGTACAGCTACATAGAAAACTGAGCAGGAATTTTGTAAGGAACCAGTGTTTTATATACTGTTTTGTTCTACAGATATTAAAGTGAAGGAGCAGTCTCTGGAGAATCTAATGAAGTGAGTCACAACTTTGAAAATATATGGAAACAAACAATGGTTCTTACAAGGTTTTTTTCTGTATAAGGAATAAAGGCTCTTTATCTGAAGCCTCATACTGAACTTACCTGTCTTCTCTTGCATTTCTTGGTGGTCATGGTTTTTGTTTCCTCTAAGCAATAGAATTTTTCTGTTTGTTACAATAGGAATTGGCTTTATTTTCAGTAAATGATTGAAACTGCAACAGTGTATAATCTTTGTTCCTGGGAGAAGTAGGTCAGAACAGGATAAGCTTTCTACCTGCCAGGTCAAGAGTTCTTTTATTGCTGTTCTGTCTCATCCTGAAGTAAATTAATATCATAAACAGTGTTCTGAATTCATTCTTCCTTACAGTGGCTAGAAGCAGTGTAAAGTATAGAATACATACCACTGTTTGTTAGCTGTTAAATAAGCAACATATAGAAAGTTCTCTTAAGTTCATTTAACTGTATCTGGAAGTTCTTGTCACAGCTTAATTGTCTCTCTGCAATCAGTATGCTTTGACACGGAGAATATAAATAGTTACTTTATACATATGCTGTACTCTGGTCTAAATTAACATTTGTGAACTCTCACACTATCATTGAGGTTTGTTTATTTTAGAGTTTCAAAATAAAATCTGTTTGAATCCATAGTTGGCAAAGAAAGAAGCATTTCATTTAAAAATATAATGCTAGTCTGTAATAATCCGTATACAAGGCATTCAACAGGAAAACAGTAGTTTGCCCTTGAATTTAAGCCGAATGCATCTTTCAGAAATAGTCACAAAACCTGCACATTGCTTCCAGCAACTCAATTTGTTTTTAAATTTCAAATGATTTAACAGATGGTAGCCCTGCTGTTTCACAGGTGTGTGAGAGCACAAGAGTCTTCTGTCTTCCTTAAAAATTCCACATTTGTCTCAAGGCCAGTCTGAAAGCCCAGGCCTGTTTAAGTTTGATTTGCTGGTCCACAGACTTCATTTGAAATAAACTGTAAAAATACCAGGGATAAATAAATGATTTATATTTAAATTACTTTTCTTTCCCTGCAGAGGAAGGAAGATTTATGAGCCACCGCGCTATATGAGGGTGAACCAAGCTGCAGAACAGCTTCTTGACATTATTCAGAATAGGAGACTCCAAGGAGAAGAACCAGGTACTACTATCACAATGCTGTTATTTGCTGCTCCTCATTTCTCACTTACTGATGAGTCACTGAACTCTACTGCCTTCCTCTTCATCTTAGCATTCTCTTGATCTGTAATGGAACCAGAAGATGGATTTGGCAGAGCTTGAACAAAGTGTAGTTAATTGAGCTCAGATGAACAAACACGAGCAGCTCCAAGAGATTTAGTCAAAACCTCAGTATGGTAACTACTGTTTGCTGTCCAGTTTTAAGTGTGAGCTCTTTGATCCATTATAGTTGCAGGAGCCTGCATTCAAGCATTTTAGATCAGTCAAGCTTCGAAAATCTTAGCTGCACGTTACTTAAACTGGTTACACTATACTGTGCACGAGTCCCAGCACAGACTCGGGGTTGCCCCAAAGTTGCAGGACTGTGATTTTAGCCTTGAATCCTTAATACTAGTCAAGAGTCTGCTAAAGAGATGTTTATCAAGACCAGACATGAAATCAGAGCAGCTATGAAGATGACTCCCTTATGCCATAGAAGAAAAAATTAATAGAAATGTATCTGTACTCCTTTTAAAATATTGTCAAGATGAAAAGGAAACAGTACTTTCATTTTATCCTTTATGTAGAGTTAATCTGACGCTGCAGTCTCCTCTTCTGAATGAATTTCACTTACTGCTGCTGCCTTCCCTTTCCTGCTTCTCAATAGCTCTGAGATACACTTTTTATTTTCTTTGAAGAACAAGCTTCATTTTAAACTACTCTGATGATTAGCTGGAAACATGAGACAGTGGTGTTAAGGTTTGAACACCGAGTATTTTTTTCCTCTATTTAATAAATTATTCTTTCTAGTGACAGTTGGATCGTGGTCCCTGGAAGAATTTTGTAAGAATCACTTCTTCAATGTTCTTTCTTACAGAAATTACTGAAGACACAATTTGTGTTGGCCTCGCACGTGTGGGTGCTCCTGATCAGAAGATTGCTTCAGGCACACTGTATCAAATGTCTACAGTGGAGTTAGGTGGTCCACTCCATTCCATGATTGTTACAGGCACTATGCATCCTCTGGAATTAGAAATGCTTAAGCTTTTTTCTGTAGATACTTCCAATTTTGAAAATAATGCATTTGAAAAGACCACTTAAATAAAAATGCATATTGAATTTTTTATTCTGTCATTAACTTCATGTCAGCACACAGTTATTCCTCTGAATATTTAGAGCTTGCTTAGATCAAATGAATTTAGATTGTATATAGCTGCAGGAGGTAACAGTGTAGGAACATGGGCTTGCTTTAACCTGAGGCTTCAAACTGCAAAATACATCTGCTGGTATCAGTTTCTAACAAGTAAAGACATCTCCAGCAGTCTTTAAACTTTAAGAATGCTTTGTTTAGTTCAGTTCCTTGGCATCTGCATCAGTCTTAGGCTGATGACTAGGATAAGACGTGCAAATACAGAACTACTGGACCAGATATGTATGCAGCATCACTTTTGCTATAACAGAAGAATCAAGCCTACTGCATGCATGATTTTAAGTGCATTTTAGATGTTAAACGTTGCTTTTCAGCTATTTCACCGAGTAGTTCTCCCATCAGTAGAAAAACTGTGCAAACCCTGTTAGTCTGTATTCATTTTTACACCTGGAAGAATGAATACAGATTAGAATACTCTACGTTTACAAGAATTCATTCTCCAGATAGCTGGTAAAACATAAGGAGAAACTGCACAGAATTTCTTATTTCAGGAGGTTGCCACTTAAAATAGATCTGGATTTCCTCACACATTAATGCTAGCATTTATGAAGCTTTAGACTCAAATGCAACAACCACAGTTGAATTGTTACCAACTCAAAAAAAGCAGACTGCAAAAATTCTCTTCAGAATCAGCTAAGGGGTGATGGTTGCTATTCCAGGTGCTCATACATACTGTTGAAAAAAACCAGTAGACCTGTATGTATTTTTTTTTTTTAACTGAAGATTTATTGGAAAGAAATTTGATCCCATATCTTCTCAGCAATATAGGACATTTAACATTTTATATAGACTGTATTCAAGTAGAAAAGGTTACATTAAAAATTTCTAATATTGCACTTGGGACAAGTCATGGCTAAGCTACTACATCAGCATTCCAGAACAAAATCATATAGAGTCTTCAGAATTTTAGTGAGCTGCCTTGCATTATCATTTAGATTTTCTTTGCGGGTATTTTGATACTGTACTATTCAATCTAAGCTCATTGCAAAGAATGTTCTTGTAGTTGAAAGTTAAAGGCAAACAAGCTGTATGCAAGCAATGTTTTATGCTACCCAGAATGATTTTGGCAGTTTCTTCATTCACATTATCCCACACTTCAGCCACAGTACTGAAGCAAATCATTTAACTCTTGTTAAAGATCCTAGCACAGGCATGAAAGAAAGACTTCAACGCACATGGAAAATGAAATACACAACTCCTTTTACACATGATTTCTGCCAGATTTCCACATAGGCAGGAACATATTGTGCCTCACTGAAACAGACAAATAGATTAACCAGTATTCGCACATAGTGAAATGCAGTCTTCACATAACCAGAGACAAGAGTAGAATAACTGGCACCTTTTCACATTACAGCAGTCTCTGGCCAATGAAGTCCCAACATATATGGTCACTTCAACAAAAGCCTGAATGGGGAGAGAAATCCAAAAGGGAATCCCAGCAATGCAGATGGGGATTTTTCTAGAAGTGTACAGGATAAATTAACCACTGAAACAGTGTAAGGGATCAGAGAAATGAATTATTAAAAAAAACTTAAAATCCCTTATTACTTACTCTTACAAACACACCTCAAAGGGAGGAGATACTCAGCAGTCATAGAAAGTGGCTGTCAGTGGCTGCTGGGGAAAACAGGACAGGGCTAATCAGTAACTGAAGCTGTTGTTCTGAACTGGCATTGAAATTGTCTCATTACATGAGTTACATTAGGATTTGAAAGAATCAAGGTTTCAGCAACTGAAATCTACATTCAGTCTGGGAAAATGTCATGAAGTTCCCAATTTGATTGCAGCTTAAATATTCAAGGGTGGAAAACTGCAGTTCAGTGGCAGCTTCTTTCACCTTCTGTCTGTCTGCCTTCCTGAATAAGGTTCACTGACCAACAGAAAACAGATACCTTTCCTTCCTCTACCTTTAAACTCAAGAAATAAAAATGATGTTAAAAGTCACTAACGTCTATCCTACTTGTAGCAGCAAGTTTCAATTTCTATGTAAAAATAGTGTCCTCAGCTCTAATGAGATTAAGCTTGACTTTTAGTAAGCAGTATTATGTATAAATAGAGCCAATTATTTAAATTGCACTTTCTCTCTTGAGCAAGTTAAGCTTTATCCAAGGGCCATATTTACCTCTATGATGAGGGCATTTTAAGCACAGGCATTCTAGAGCAGTTTTTTTCTTTTCTAAACTCTTAGAAACACAGTCAAGTCTTTCACAGTATGCTCTCAGCAAAGTAAAATATCATTTTGCTGTACATCGTATAAAAATGCAATCTGCAGGATTGGACTTTGGTCTGGGCAGTTTTAAGTTACTATTTTCTTTCACAGATAAAAAAAATCTTAGATCACTTAGATCAGAAACCCTACATTAAAGTTCAGCTACAGGAAAATGTAAGGAAAGCATACTTTGAGAACTTGGCTCAAACTTCCATATTGTTTGCTATGAAAATCAGTTTTAGCAGATGATCTGCAGACACTTATCCATTGCTAGATATCAGGTACCCACAGTTTAAGTCTGCTTAAACAAGGTGATGTATCTATTAATGTGCTAGAAGCAAAACCTCTTATAAGTCAATTGCTACATAATCAGCAAGTCAAAATAACTGAGTTTTGATATTCAAGACAAAAAAGGCTGCACTTTCAGCTGCATGTTTTGTACTCTCTTAGAGCCTCAGCAAGTAGCCCCTCAGTAACTGGAAAAGAACCAAAACAGTCAAATATCACCACTTGCTGACACAGGGGAGCCAAATGTGGTTGCAGTTAGCTACTGGGACAGGCCATCTACTGTCTTCTGTAGAACCTTTCAATGCTTATCTTTCGTCAGAAAGGCTAAGAAGGCTTAAAAGTCTATTTTGAGTCTGACCTCTCTAAATTACCCTCAAAACTGTATTTCACAAAGGATGTATTTCTTATAAAACATCAAGTCCTCCTTAAAAACTAAGGTGGTACACTGTTTAGAAATCAAGCCCTCCTAAGCAATAAGATATAAAAAACTATTAAAATCAACATTGTATAATTATAACCGGCTTATAGGCTTTTGCATTTAATTTCCTGTAATGAAAAAGTTTGTACATATGTATCTTCCAAAAAAAATGCACAAACAAAATACCACTTGAGTAGATGCTCACTTTGAGAATCTACAGCAGTTGTAGTAGTCATCTTTTCATTACGACAACTAAAACAGCAACCAAGCCGTACAGCTTGAGCAGCACTACAATGTACTTCAGCAAGTCCAGGAATACTCAGACCCCAAAGATGCTCTGAGCTGCTACAAAGATGATTTAAATCAAACTGAGCTCTTTGATCATGACACTTGTAATGGAGCTGGCCAGTGCTTGCCTTTAAACATTGACTACAACATCAAGAAATTGTTGTCAAACAACAAGCCGCAGTCTACATGCATCTCTACAAAATGATGACTTCCAGCTGTCTTTTAATTACCCTTTCTGCGGTCATACAGACAAATTATATCGTCAACTGACACAATCAAATTTGCTCAACAGATTCTTGCACCCTGCCCCACCCCATGTAACTTTTCATCCTCCAGTCAGGACCTCCACAGCTGGCAGAGCATCTGCAGAGCATCTGCAAGGTGAGATGGGAGGCAAGCCTGGCAGAGAAATGAGGCAGGATGTAGGTCAGTGCAAGCTGCCCAATACAGCACTCTGCACCTGCACCTCCTGGAGACACGAGTAAGATCAGAAAGCAGCAATAAGGATAAAGAAGGCTCTGAGGACTGGAAGGGACCATAAAGTTTAGAAGAGGTATGTGGCTTTTTACTGCTGTTATCCTTTACTCCCAGTTTTCAGTTGCAAGATCAAGAAGTATAACCCCAAGTTTTCTACAAAGTCAATATTAACATCTGTATATTTCATCAGGAGAATTCAGGTACCAACTATCTATCAATCCGGCAACCATCAGTATTTTCCCAGAAAGAGAGATCAAAGTTCAGATGCTAAACAGGAGCAACAGAACAAGTACCAGGAACTTCCTCTTATCATGAATTTAGTAACATCAGTGGTAAACAAACCGTTTCTGCAAAAAAGTCTTCAGTACTTTCCTAGCACTTACTACAGAGACACTGCTGGCTTCTACAGGTGTTGGCTGCCACACTACTCTGTATCAGGTGCCTGAAGAACACTTAAAATCTAAAACTGGCATTATTGGCTATGATTTACAAGACAAACGGCTGTCTTGTTTCTCTCTCCACAATGTTCTACTTGTGAAATACAATGTCATCTTACAAAACCTTCCCTTACTGATTTATCTACAACAGCATAGTGGAATTATCTGTAATATCAAGTATAGCAGATTGTTGTTGAAAACAATGCTCAGATTGGAAAAATGACTACAAGATACAACTAACGTATCTGAAAAAAACAAACAACTTACTCCATTGAGAATGTTTTTTCTGATGGAAATACAAAAGGCTACAGTGAAATAGTAAAAAAACCATGACTTTTCATCATGGAAAAGCATAATCTTGAATAACATGAAGAGAGGCCTTTATTTCCATTTCAGGTATAACCACCAGGAACACATCTTTAGTATTTGGAAAGGCAAAAGTTACCTCACCGAACGCTTTAACAAGAATTACTACAAGCTGTTAAAATCAAAGAGATTTAGACTTTCACAAAGACAGGAGTGTAATTTTGTCTGCTCTTTCTTATAGTTTGCAAAATAAAAAAAAGCTTCATGCATTGTTTCCATCAACCATGGAAACAATTCCCTCAGCTGTCTGTTTTTTGGGTGACTGTGGACACGGGTAGCATCACGTAACATCTCATTACTCTCACAGTATGAAGAGACTAAGAATTGGAGTTAAATCTAAATCTTAGACCAAAATGTTTCCACAAGAAATGTGCAACAAAATTTCTAGCTTGTTTTGGAAGTCTCTTTACAATGGCTTTGCCTTTTACCTTCAGAATTTTTCCTGTTTGGTACAATGCAATAATAAGGGAAGTCTAACATCTACAGTTATGCAACTATATGAAGTCCCCACATACATCACTAGTAAATAATCAGACTGCATACAAGATATATTTGTAGAAGTAATAAAACCCTTTGATGCTTCATATTTATGCTGGCAAATACCTCTCATGATATAAAAGGCACTTTGAAAACCCAATATGGTTTGGTTCATTAAGTTTGCAAAGTACAAACAATTGTACAAACATACAATTATATCGAAGCATGTCAGCCATTGTGACATTATGTACAAAACAAGTTTCCAATTTTTGATAACACTGGTTTTATGGGAATGAGCAGTGGTTTCAGCAGCTTTACTGAAGACGTTACAGAATTTCCAGTACCACCATTTTAGTTTCCTATTGGAACAAATGTAGTAAGTAAAAACCTTCAAAAACTTACAAGTTTAGGGGGCCACAAAAAGACAAGACCCAAAGTTCATAACATTCACTCCATATTTACTCCTCAGAAGTCAACTTCATCCATAGCCCAAAGACATAAGTCTATTCAGTCAATTCCAGGCCAGTGGTAGAGGCAGGCTCTGTCTTGGGAAGTGTCTTGTTTTATACCATTACAGTACAAAAAACTTTGGTCCAACAGCACAATTTCAGAAGCTCACTACATGGCTGCGACATCAATTTGTATGTAAAGCTGTCTCACTCCTGCCTATGGAAAAGAGAAGGAGATTAAAAAAAAACAAAAAAACCACCAAATGATAAAGCCAAAGCAATTTAACTGTCCTGATAAACTGCTCACATCAGTAAGCTGCCCTACAAAAAGTCTCAGAATCCTTGTTTTCTCTAACTCACCTTCCACATTCAGCAAGACATTTGTTGAGATGCCTAAAAATTTTGAAATCCATACATTTTTTAGAGAGCGCTGCATGAAAGACATGGTTCTTCATATAGTATAGAGGTGTATGTGTGTAAGTATAAATAACTAAATAATTGTCACACAAAGAAGCCACACAAATTTCCTCTTGTACAAGTTTAACTGCCTGAAAATAAGCTGCTTACGGGGTTGTAAGGCTGAAATGGAGCAAAAGCACAAGACTATAGCACAGGATTTGTGGTTTGAACCAGATCTACTCTTCTCAGATTTTAGCAAAAAACAACAATGGCTATCTATGCTGAATTGTCTTGACATGAGATGCTAGAAAAACTTTTGGTAAAGGTATGCAAATCAGCAAATCATTCCAAAATGTTTATTTTCTTGGAAATTCTATTAAACTAGGCTTAGATTGACTCATTTAGTTATACCATCAATAAAAAAAGCATAAAAATAATTTATTAACTCATTTTAACCTCAATGTCAAGCAAGTGCTGTGATGGTCACAAGGTGACCTTGAAAGACTAGGCTGAAAGCTGCTAAAGAACAGATTGTCCTCAACCATCTTCAACTTTGCAGCTGAGCTGCAAAAACAATCAGCAGTTATATCAAGACTGATAAAGGCCAATATTATTGAAGAGAAGAATTTACTTGCTCGAACTTATTATCATAAGTCAGGTAAAAAGAGCAACAGACCTTGCCCCCCCAGTTCACCTCCAAGATACACAGCTCTAAAACTGCAAAGCTACAAGATAGCGGAAGAGTGAACGAGTCACTAGGAAAGCACAATGCTTTGGAGGCTTGAGATGTAAAACCAATTTTGAGTATACATGACAGAATGTTCTGCATAGTCCTTTCCAGAAACTATCCCTTAACAATCTCAAAGTAGATAGTCTGCAGAGAAAGCCACGCAGACTAATTTGTACCTGATTGATCATCTAAAGCAGTATATAATAGAATATCTAAAAATATGACCCAACTTTATTAATAAAATTACATTTTAGAATATCTGTATCAAATTCTTCACTGAATCTAGTATCACAAAATCAAGTATTTGTATTTGTTTTTAAATGAGTTCCCCATGACTATCAACTTTAAAACTTATGCACATTGTAGGGCTGTCTTCAGTGGCATTTCCCCTGAAAGTGCAGAAACTGAGTATGCTAGATGCATGCAAATCCCTAAACTATTCATTCTGGAATTTTTAAGAGAGGAGAAAAATAATTAAATAAATAAATATAATAATAAAAAAAATAACAAGTCATAGAATAATAGAAGGATTTATGTTGGAAGGGATCTTGCTGCCCATCTAGTTCAAAACCCCCTGCCATGGGCCAGTTGCCACCCACCAGATCAGGCTGCCTAGGGCCCCATCCAACTTGGCCTTGAACTCCAGGGATGGGGCATCTACAGCTTCTTTGGGCAAAGTCCCTTTATTTTCTTGGTTCCTCATATTCACTCAAATATATAAGTTTCATCTTCATTCAGTACGGCTCAGAAAATTACTGCTGTTATTTCCATTAAGTAGCATCAGAAGTTAATGCAGAGAGGTACAGAAATTCAACCTACCCTACACAGAATTTTGAAATCATTCTACATAGCTGGAGAAGAGAAGCTTTTCAACAGTTACAATGATACAAAAAAAAAAGTAACGTTTTTCTTAGTAAGAGTTGCAGTGTCACCCCAGATGACTCTACTGATGAGATACATACCTGAGTAAAAATATTGTGAGTCTGGCTTAGAATCCACCTTCCATCAGCATCAGGAGCTACTAATAATTTCAAAGTCCCTATGTAAACATCAGTACAGAGGGTCCAGAAGTGTGGATCATGTAAACTGTAAACTCCTTGCAACTGCTGCACCTAAACATAAAAGCAACTTTATATTTTTTTTTCCCTGAAAATACTTGGGCTTAATTCCTTATTACAGTCTTTGTGATTGTAAAGAATTGAAAGCAGATTTTATGTATGGGTCATAATTCTGTATCTTGCTATTTGTACACTGTACAAATATTTTATTGGAATCACTTTTGAAAACAGTGGTGTCCAAGAGAGAAAAATCATCTATTTTGTTGAATGCCTTCTCAAATTTCAACAGCAATTTCTGCAAATGCAGTAATTTTCCCATTAAAAAAGTAGAGAGATTCTAACTATTAACAGAAATGTATTAACATGACTGTAAATGTTTTGTGAGGGCTTAAGTTTGTTCCATCGAAACCATTCTTCTTCCAATTTTAGTAAAAAGCCTTCATGTGGTCATTATAAACCCAGAACTTCTGGGGAAACAATGACACTCACTCTACAAGCACATTAATACAACGTACTTCGTAAGTTTGCAAAGGTGCTTCACATGTTCAGATCATGACACATTATAAGGTAAAGTCAGCCAAAAGTAACTGGACAAATCAAATCCAGATTAACCTTACACACACTTGTCAATGTTATTTTACCTGAATTTAGTAGAGACAGAACTGGGTTTTGAGAGAGATAAACTACCCTGGGCAAAAGAAAAACATCATGCACTAGTAGCACAAATGACTGTGAGGAAAGACTTCGGGATCTCTTTTTCTAACCTAACATAGCACAAGTTGAGCTTAAGCTACATAATATTTAGGATTTCAGAAAAATAATTTATCTAGCATCTTCACTTCTACAATCTAGAGAACCTTTTGCAGGCTTTACTGGAAAAAATAATTATAACATCCTCATGTAGAGTTGAGGTTCATTAACTCAGTAGTTTCCTCATACACAAATATGGCCAAAGTAAGAGCTTACCCTCTGATAGCACTGAGGCAGGGCATTTTCCAGAGATGGAGGAGTTCGCTGCATCAAAATTCCAATTGATTCTTTTAGAAGAGGAACAATACTATAAAGAAAAAAGGAAGTTGCTACTATGACATTTTCAGAAGTTGCAGAACAAAGCAAAATAACATTCCTTAATATTCTTGAATAGTTCTTTAGTTGTTTGATCAGAAGATGAGAAAGTTATCATGAAAACCTGCCACAGATAATGAAAGAATAGACAAATTCTAATGGTGTCACGCTGAAGGCAAGCTAATTTCTCTCTCAATTACCCAGAGACAATCAGTCAACAATCAAAAAATAACGGGTTTAACTGTGGGATTTGGAATGAAATTTAAGCGTCTTAAACATACATGACAAAGTAGCTGATAAGCATAGCTCAAAACCAAAACCTACTTCAGTGGCATATCACTTACAAGCAACCATGAAAATATGCAACTGAAACTGTTTTTCTTTTGTGTCTGGTTTAAGACATATCTTTCTTATGAACTAAAATAATAAGGAAATCATAAAACAAAATTAGTATGAACCAGTCCAGCTATACCAAAGATATTTTGTCAGAAACAGAATACTTAGCATATTCTTGACATGAACTAAGTGTAGGGTCTCATCTGACCTCAAAGATTTAACATTTGGAAGCAATTAGAGGTTCCCTCTTTACTGCATGGTCTTGCTTAATCAGCAAACTAAAACGATAATACCTTTTTTTTTTTTTTTAAAGCCACCAGTAAGTTCATATCTCAATTCTATCACTGAAAGTTTACACTTACTGAGCATTCAGTATGTTGACTTTTGTTTAAGAGCAATCTATCAAGCTTGGTTCGGTAGAACATCCTGAAACTTAAGATTATAGTAACTATCTATAGCCTAATCTCAAAATTTAAATAGTAATCTAATTTCAAGAGCATGTAAGTCATTCAACTCTCTACAGCAAAAGCAATGATACATTTAAGAAGCCATAAACTGAGTTTTTGTGTCTAAGACTGGCATCATGGCTGGAGTAAGCAGAGCAATGGGTTCCATTTCTGTCTTGAAGCAGTGCCAGCGTATGCAGCTTCCATTGCTCAGCTTATTCCTGGATAATCCTTGGCTACGGTAGAACGGAGTCAGAGGATGCATGGCTCTTGTGTAATGAACCACAGGGAGAATAAGCACCCTAAATTAAAGTCTCTCTGGAAATATACCTATTATTCCAGTCAAATTCATTGCCTGATATACTCCATGTTGCCTCATACAATTGTGCTGCTACTGAATCAGTTTGGAACTAGGAAGAAGCAATTAGGGGCAGACAGGAGATACTTAAACTGAACTTATCACCAAGATAAACATTTAGAAATACATTAGCTGTCAATCTGTCTAAAAAGAGCCTTAATTGGAGTGTCACATTCTTTAGACAGTGTATTAACAGATGTATAGGGAACAAGAGTCTCTTATCAACTAAACCTCTCACCAACTAACATCAAAAAAAGCTGGAGCTTCCAAATAGTCAATTGCTGAATTGCTTTCAGTTTGACACACTACTTAAAAGAAAGCAGGATTGCTTCTTAATATAAGCCTCAAAAGACCAACACACAAATTCTGAATGCAAACTGACTTCTGATTACTGACTCCATTCCTATAACTTCCTATAACATGCTTCTACTATATGCATCCAAAGACTTAAAATTCTGACACACCACATGCTTTTCTCCTGGAGAAAGGATGGAAGGAATGGAGAATTAAGAGCTTGCCTTTTTATTGAAAAAAATGAATAAGGGTGAAAAAAATACCCATGAAAGAGTCTAGCCAAAAATCACAGAATCGCCAGGGTTGGAAGGGACCTCAAGCATCATGAATCTCCAACACCCCTGCCACATGCAAGGCCACATACATTTAAATTATTTCATAAAACTAATGTGCATTATCTGATGGAATGAAAAAGAATTAGCAAGCAGAAGATTTGGAGACAGACTACAGGAACTTAGGAGTAGCAGGTGAGGCATGTTAACTTAACCCATTCCAAACAAGAATTTGGTCAGTGCAATTGGTTAATACATTCTGGAAGAGGATACACATTGAAAAGATGAAGCTAAAACCTCATTAATGAGCAGTTCTGCTGAAGATGTCTTCGAACTTACTACCTGCTTCATTCTGCAAACTTGGGTCTGTGCAACCAACACGGTGTGCAGAAGCACAAACACTGTCTCTTCTTTCTAGGAAATGGGGAGCAGTTTTAAGCAGCAGATTGAAATCAGTTACTCAAAGTCAACTATTGTAACAAAGAGGTGAATGGTGAAAGACAATCCACTGTACAGGGGGAGCAATTTAAAAGAGGGTCTTCCTGTGGACAAGATTTCACCCATCCCAGACTTCATAATGGTTCCACACTAATACCTTTAGAGAAATTTCCTGAACAAGTTTCTGAAAATAGTGCTGCATGAATTATCTTTCTTTTATCAAGACTTAATGAGAAACCCCAAAGCAGAGTGTTTAATTAAATGTCATCATCTTAGAAGTACAAAGAATGCAGGCAAATCAGGGAGTTGTTTGATACCGTAGGTGAAAGTCAAAACGGTCACAGCTTTCTCATTTAATTAGGAAGACATTTATCTCTTGCAAAGCTGAAAAGGCCAGAAGACAGCAACAATGGTGGGATGCACTCCCACAAACACTCTTAGAGCACACAAGGCCATATGCATATCTATATCCAAAGGGACACTTTCTCTCACCAGGTAACCTTTCACTGTAAACAAAACTAATATGACAAAGTATAGAACCCATTTTTCTGAAGTCTTTGATACTCCACTGTTTCATGCATAGTACTGCAGTAGAAAGCCTTTGATTAAAACCCAGAAATTCCATCAGTCATTAGTGTGAAATACATGGAGATGCTCCTCCAGCAATGTTTGCATTCCTATGCCCCCTACCACTTTTTTCATGTGTAGGTGCAAGCTTTGCTTCTAAAGCAGATGCAATTTTCTGATTGTCTCTTGTCACCAAGACTTGAATTCAAAATATCATTTTATGTTACAAGACGTGGAACCTGAAAGAGGCTCTAATCCTCAGGATATAAACATATCCTCTCCAAAAGCCTAATAGCTTTTATAGGTGGCTGTTGTGTACAAAATGAGTTAACAGCATGAAAGCACGTTACACTTTCACAAACATTGTTATAGAGGAAATGAGAGGATTTAACACAGATAAGACCAAATGATACTAATCTGATAAATCCACCCTGCCACTATTCCACACTGCCTGATTAACAATGAAGTATGAAAACATTACAATCTTGACTGACTTGCATCACAGCCGTTCCAGCCTAATACAGTTTCTGCCACTGCTTTTCTAAGCACACTTAGCAAGACTCTGGCACCATCATAATCTTAAACAGCAAGACTGTTTAAGTAGTACATAAGAAATAACTGAAGAGTAAAGTACCCCTTACAGTTATTGTAGTCAGATCATAAACAGGAAATTCATTTAGTGCTCTCAGCACTACAAAATAAACAGGATTCTTGAGAATTTCTTTGTGTGGAAGATAAACAAACACTGCTAAGACCCAAGACCAGCTATCTACAGCTGGATTTCAAAATCACTTATTTCTACTCACCATCCACATACGCAGAGCCAAGACTGGGAATCTATTTCTAAGTTGTTTTTTTTTTTTATTTTAATTAGGCCATGGTGAATTTTAACTAGCATGAAGACTTTATTCAAAACAAAGATCACAAGTTTAATATTTACTTTTCTAATCTGAAGTGTTGTTAACAGCAGTAAGGAAAGCGTTGCCAAGTCTATCTTACTAATACCTGTAATGTAGAACCAGAGGTCTATGCAGTTGATTAAAATGGAAATGGACAATGTAATATATGTGAAGTCATGCACACACGACAGCTTGGGAAAATAAATAAATATAAATAGTAGTGTATTTTAATTGATCAGCTAACAAACTCCTGTAGGACAGCACGTCAGTGCTCTAATGCAACCATACTCAGAAGCAGCAAAATTTTACAGTTCCTATTAGTGGAAAGTCCTTAGACAGCATTAAAATTTTCAAATTTCAGTTTGATCAGAATGACTTTACTATCTCTGACTTAAAACTATTCTTATTTTTTTAAATTAAATCCACAAAGAAAAGATCATGATATTTTAAACAACCACAATACTAGTCCCACTTGCTGGCACACACAGGTACTCCCACTCCATTCCACCTTACAGAAGCTGGTTTAACTATTGAAAGGGAGATTTCTCAGATGAATGGACCCCTCTGTGCAAAAAAAAGAAAAAAAAACCCACAAAAAAACCAAGACACCATTGACAAACATTCCTCTGAAACAGCAATTAACTTTTAATCTAAAATCAAATCCCTGCTGAAGTCATTTACAGAGGTTGCAAATAGGCCCATAGATGCAGGCAGGAATCTGTACTAGATACTGACTACTCACTCCTCTAAGAAACCAAAAGCTAGAGCCAGCTCTTGCAACTATCAGCTTCAAGTCTTTTCCAAACACTTTTCTCCCCTTGCATTTTAAATTCCAAAAGATTTCAGTACAATCGTTTTCCTAAATTCAATTTAGATGTCTTAAAAAGGTAAGGACAAAAGTATTATATATCCTGGCAATAATCAGTTGGGCCCCTACTACTACAACAAAAGTCCATCTTATAGTAAAGTCTGAAGAAACTTGAGTCAATTCTAGAACATATCACACACAGCATAGTGAAAAATAACGTAGAATAAACAATGGTTTTGTGTCCTGGAGCATAAATGAAAACTACTAAAATAAAACAAGGGTTGACTCAAGCACTCAAAACATTAATCTGAAACTACAAGCCATCTTGACCACCCTGTTCAGTGCATTTCACGCAAAGTCATCAGTAATCAAGTCTGTTACACTGCTCGAGAAACAAAATCTGCAATTAAGACTTTGCTCCATTGCTGTGCCAAAACGTGCCAGTCTGAAAGAAATGCAGATTTGCTTTACCTGACTGAATGCAACTGCACTGAGACTTAACACAGTAATCCTAGAAATCGTTTACAGTGTTGTGGACCAACAGCCCAAGTCAAACATCAAGTCTGATATCAGGTCAAAGGACACATCAAACAGTGGAATTTCCAGCCTTTTTAAACAGAGGACACAGACCACATAAGCCCTTCCTAACTACACTACAAGGCCTATTAATAGCTTTATTATAAAACCCCTATTATGGAAGTTTCATCCTTCTTCCAACCTCTGTATGAATGCAACAAAAAAATCCTCTCATTCATATGGTACCTTCTAATCAGCATTCAACATCTACTTTGCTGAACACAAAGGTACACCCTTAAAGAACAAAGGGTATGGAGATCAGTCTTCTACCCAACCATTAACTCAGCAGAACCTTCTTTCCCCACAGCAACTTGCACATTTTCTTTCCAATTTTAGGAGATCACAGTCACATAATTGACTTTTTTCATTTAAAGAATTGAATTTTTAATAATTTGTCCTTAATGAAATGACAGGAGGTTTAAGACAATCTATTGAACTTATATTAATGCAATAATTTAATAGTGATGTGGATTTTTTGTGCATTTTGCACCTGAAGAATATTGGCCTACTCTGATAAATAGGGAGATTCACATCAATAACTCTGTGAACACTGCCATGCATATGGTATAAACATGCCATATATGGTATAAACATAAGTGTGTAGCTGCAGTTAATCAGATGATATTTACCATGGGCGAAGAGACAAAGGTCGTCAGTTATGTTCTACCTGGACTTGTGGCACTCTGCCCTGTGCCCTATTTGAACTGTTGCTAGAAATACCCCATTAACATCATCACTGAATAAAATGTTTGCTTCTCCAAACTCATGTGAATTGCTTCACGTTTACAGTGATCTTGGTAAGCAACAATTGGGAAAGCAAGGAACTAGAAGCATTTCCACTAAATTTTAAAAGAATGTCTCAGATTACAAATAGAAACAGTTTTCTCCATAGAAAAAAAAAAGTACCAGTCTTGATTCATCAGGGACAAGGGCATATCCTATGCCAGCAAGCTCAACTCTGCTGCACTGAAACCATTCTGCTCCATTTACTAAAGTACATTGGCTTACATAAGTGTGTACTAAATACAGAAAGGAAGAGTTCTACAGCCTGAACCTGAAAAACACTTCCGTAGTACTGTGCCTACAGTATTAAAACATGCAGATTTAAGAGCAAAAGCAGTAGCTGTAGAAAAGGAAAAACAAGGCAGCTCATTTAAGAACACACCAAGACAAGCACACAGAACAGAGATAACGTGCTACTCAGAATAAAAGCAAGCATTGTAAAATATAAGCATAATAGATAAACATGTTCTTCTGATCTGTAATTTGTGCTACTGTAACTAGCACTAAAAAGACTACCAGATATCAACACTTACCTTACTCCTATAAGTAATGCTATCAGCATTGAACAAATAGGATCTGCTATCATTAGACCATAGTTCTGCATCAATATAGCAGATATGATTACACCAATACTTCCCAGTGTGTCTGCAACAATGTGTAGAAATACACCTGTAAGAGATTAGTTAACATCAATTTAGCTTGGTATTCTTAAAGCTAATAGAATTATTTCAAAGACACTTTGAGAAGAAGAATTGCAAGACCTAGGTAACATGATTTATACTTGTTACATTCTTCATCAATTTTGGTCAAATACATAAAGAGCAATCACAGGGTTTCAACATATCCTTAAAGCACTTGAAAAAAATTATATTATTTTCTGCATATAGCATGAAGGTGTATTTCATGGCATGCCTATTAACTTAAGCAGTGATCTACAACTAACAATTTTCATTCGTTACTCACCCATATTATAGCAAAGAAACTCATATTAACAAAAATGGACCTGTAAGGCTTTGAAAGATGCTTATGTTTCATTGACAGTAGAAGCTGCTTGGCAAAGAGACTGAAAACAAGTGATTTTGAGAATTACTTATTACTGCAGAAATGTACAAGTTTGCTGTTATTTTGAAGAACGCTCAAGGTAAAGGGGAGGAATCAAACTTTGCAGCTAGTCAAAAATCAGTCTTTGGCGCTCCCTGCTGGCAATAACAGGAATAGTCACTCAGAAACAGCTTGCTGAATGCAATTCTCAGGACTGTGATATTCCTCCCTCACAAAAAGTTAACTCAGAACAATAAATCAGCATTCTACTAATTTTCTTAAGCCTTCTTTGTGCTGGGTCTGTAGGAATTCCCCTCATAGCAGCTCAGAGTGCCAAGCATCAGGTTTGTGACTGTTCGTTACTCACCAGCATTTTAGCTCTTGCTGAGTGATCCTTATACAGCATCAAGGCCTCCTCCTGCTTCTCACTCTGCCCCCATTCAAGTAGGCAAGGGCTGGGCATAACGCTGGAAGGGGACACAGCCAGGACAGCCGACCCACACCAGCCAGAGAGATGTTCCATACTACGTAACATCATGCTAATAACTAAACAGAATCTTTCTAAAGCAGTTGTTGGCTGGGAGATGGCAAGTGATTGCCTTTGCACCAAACCTGGTTTCCTATTTTTTTTCCTCTTCGTTTATTAAGCTGTCTATACCACATTCCAAGCATATTTCTTGTTTGCACTCTTTTGATCCTCTCCCACCATCACTGCAGGGAAGGGGACAAATGAGCAGGCGGATGCTTAGCTGGTGGACAGAGTGAACTGAAAAGAATATTGGAAAGTTTAAATAAATAGTCTTTTTTTTCTTTTTTTTTTTTTTTTTACACTATGATTCAGTTAAAACATGCCTTTCACTTGCAAGTCAGTAAGTCAGTCTTCTCATATCCATCTTTGAGGTATACATACACAACATGGTGAAGATATAAGCACTGGAAGAGGTGGAAAATGTTCCCTTGGAAGGACCACAAAGAAGCCAGAAAACCACTCAATAAAATAACACAGAACATACATCTGGATATGTCAGATAATTACACTGTACAATTCTTTCCCTCTAATTTTTGAGCACTTAAAAATGAAAGCTCAAAACTGATATAATCAATAGTTTATATCCTCTAGCTCTTAGGAGATTATGGACTCCAATTGTCCTTCAAGTGATTATAGCTTGAATGATCATCTTGTCTAAACCAAGTGCAATAGCTTGGTGAAATTTAGGGCTCCAGTACCCTGCAGAAATTATCATACTGACCTGCATTTTTCAAATACACTCTATCTTAATACTTTTTCAGTTTCTAGGACGTACACTGCACCTTAGGTTTATCCTTTTAACCACTCTTTCCTCATTTTTTATTTTTTTAATTTTTCAGCATCACGACAGAACAGAAGCTGAGTCCCAGCTTCTACAGCCTCCCTTTTAAGCTGTGTCAACAAGCATTGTGTCTGTAATTCAGTGAATGTCTCAGTGCTAGCCATGCACAGTGTATGCACTCATCTGTTCAAACATGGAAGGAGACTTGACAAAATAAGAAAAAAGTAGCATTTATCCAGAGGCACCACCCTCTGAAATGAACAGTCACAAGCAGAATAGAATTAAACAAATAAAGCACTGTATTTATTCTCATCATACCTTGTAAGATCTGCTTGCTAGAACCAGTCATCTCCTCAAGAGAATGGTCATCTGCGAAGATAATATTCATAGTAACATATTAACCCATGCAAAGGCTCTCTTCTAGTGGTACATTCTGTTATGGTCTTCCTTTCTGAAATGTCTTGCACAGACAAGCTGTTCACTATGACTACCTTTTGCTCTAGCTTTTGTTTTTTAATGCAACAACTAAGTCTTAAAACATGGATTGTTAAAGAAAGCACAGCTTCACACAATTGTATATTTTATTCATATAAAAATAAATAGTGTATCTATGTGCAAATAGATTTTTTTTTTAAATCAACTTTTTTTAAAAAGCAAAAATTGAGAAATGAAATCATTCCAATATTTAGCAAAACAAGCCACCTCAAGAATACGAGTCATACAAAGGAGCAAGCAAGAGTACAGTCATATTTGGAACCAAGGAATATTTCAAGTTAAGCCTTTGCCCCAAGCATTTAAAGCAAGAATAAGACTTGAAGTCAGAACTGAATAAAAAAATTCTCTAATTCAAGCAGATCAATGCCTCTGTAGCAATATATCAGAAAAATACCCCTTTTTTAAGAAAAAATATTGAAGGACAGAAAATGACCTACAGTGAGGATATAAAATAATTTACACAGGAATTGATTTGAATATTAAATTGCACCAAATATATTCTTTGTTCCACTGGGAGAGGACTGGGAGAGCAATGGCAAGACCAAGTTTGTGTTTTCCAGCCATATTTCAGCATTATCAATTTTCTAACACAAATATCAACTGGAAAGCTTAGAGTATAGAAAAACCTTTACTTATGTCAGCTCTTGTCACAAGCTGCTATGCATATTTAGAAATATGCACAGAGAAAAGAACAGCATATTCTATTCTTAGTTAAGATTTTAGTTCACAGCTCAGACAGAAAGGGTCAACAATGCAGTATTACAGCAAGGCTTTAATTCACATTGTTTCAAACAGCTGGCAGCCACACTGTCTCTTCTCCTGTAGTAAAGGCTAGCAAACATATTTTGTGTGGATGTCTCTTCAGATTGTTTGCCTTTAAGGAAAAGATTTAAGCATAGTAAACATACAGAATGCCTTTCTCATAACCAACATTAGAACAGATTACGAGTGCACAAGACAATAAAAAAAAATCTTCTATTTAAAATCACACTCCATACACAACAAATTAATCCCTAAGTACCTGCAACAAAATTGCTCATTTATCTTCCCCAATACCTTAATCTGTGAAGTCAATTGAGAACATTGGTATAGTAGTTTTTATATTACTTTCATTAAAAATTGAAATAAAGCACTTAATATCTGATTCGTTATGTTGCTATAGCATGCATGCTTTTATCTTTTGCTTGCATATAACAAAGATGAACAGTCCAAAAAATTTAGGTAGAATAAAACCTATATAACAACACTTCATTGATCACAAGTGAAAAACCATTTCTCTGCACACTTATAACAATAAGCAGTCAGCAACCTCTCACCTGTTCAGAAAAATCACTAATGTCAAATTTAAATTGAGTCAAGTGATGTTCTATGACATTAAGTACTTACCATGGCAATAACCCTGACCATGAGGGAGTCCATGGCTATGGCCATGATCATGACTGTGTCCATGTTTATGGCTGTGACCATGACCTCTGTGACCGTGTCCATGGCTGAGACCTCCATTAAATAGAGAATGGCTGTGCTCATGCCCTATAAACAAATATCAGAGTATAAACGCAAGTGCTGAATAGAAGTAAACTTACATTTGTTTCTCAGCTACTTAAAGTCTATTCATCTTTTAGGTCACCTCAAGGCATGGCTTTAAGCAAATTTGTTAAGATTAAAATTAACACAAACTGTTTGAAATATAAACCTTTGTATGTAGCTGTATGAATTCTATCTGATTCGAGAAGTTATTTTAATACAGCTTGAAAAATGTGCACAAATTTTGTTACAAACATGTTGAAATCAGATAGAAAACTGAAACACACTACTATTCACACATTAAAACTTTAAGCTTCTTCTGTAAGTCTGTATCACAGTTTAAAGGATAAGCTGAACTGATATCAATTAGCTTTGCAGAAAAAAAAATAGAAATAACATTTACAACAAACTTTTACACAAATTCTGCATTTACAATTAAAAAACCATGAAGTTGAAAGTACCTGAATCTTCATCCCATATTAAAATTTGATTCAGACATCTTGTTAATTCTTTCTCCAGGAAAGACACCTCCTAACTACAGTTTAATTTTATTCAAAAGATAGTCTGCAAGAGAAAAGATTCTCTTCCAAGAACGTGCAGTAGAATTCATGTTACAGAAAGCAGATTATGGATTTCTAGGCCTTGCAGGTTAGTGGGTGAGAAGCAGATGAAAACGCATGAGAAGTACAGAGGTTACATACTAATGCTAGTGTTAAAATATGGAAATCAATACTGCAACAAGTCATTTGGATAGGATTGCCACTAAAAAGACATAATACTGAGGCTATCACTGATGGGTAACAGTGTCCTAGAACACAGGATGCTTCCAATTTAAAAAAAAAAAAACAACTGAAAATTATAAATGTCCTACCAGAGCCATGTGAATGCCCATGACCTCCATGTTGAAAAACAAATATTCCTATAAGATTTACAATGAATCCCAGTATAGAAACTGGAAGAAGTCTCTCATGATGCACATCAGGAGGCTCCAGTGCCCTCTAGAAATAAAAACAAGAACAAATCATAGCATTTTAGTCTCATCACATTAGTAAAAGGCAGTGAGAAAGGTTGCTCCTATATCTAATCAGTTTTGGCTTTCTTAAATAAGCAGGTATACATAAAGACATAATTAGGAATTACTCAGGAATTCCACACACTAAATCTGACAATGCTGATGTAAATCAAAACGCTGTTTAAGCAGCTACTATTAACATGGGAAAAAAATGGGTTTATGTCACAAAACAATTCCAGAGCACCCCATACTCTTATTCAGATCCCAGATTCTTAAGCAATGATTTCAGTAATTTTACCTCCACTAAATACACTCTACAAATAGAAACTGATAGTACAGTTCACCTCATTACATACCTCAACACCTTCAGAAAAAATAAAGAATGCTGTAAAGATGAGGAATAAACCATTTACAAAACCGGCGAGTACTTCTGCTCGAACATATCTGCAAAAAAACAAAAGCAACAGCAAATATCACCACATCCACTTAAAGGTGGGAAATTAAAAAGTGAAACTTCAAAATTGAAGAATAATCTTCTACTTCTCAAGCAGTTGTAATACACAAGGAATTCCTAAATAAGACAGAGTATATAAACTATAGACAACTTATATGTAATGAACTATTTTCCATGTTGACAAAGAAATTCACAGCTACAGCCAACTTCTACTCAGCTTCCGTATTTGTAGTGGAAAACAAAAACTCCTGAGATCATTTGAAAGGTAACAGTAATAAAACAGTGAAGTAATAAGTGGAGTGAAAGCAAGACAAGTGCAGAGAGTTAAGCAAGCAGGATACTACCTCAAAACAACGCTAAGCCTTAACCCATCCATCTAACTTAAGTATTCTTCCTATTCCAGAGACCCAAATGCAAGAGCAGCAAGAGCTTGACTCTGCAGCCATTATCTGGCCTAGATGAAAGAAGATTTACAGTATTTCCCATTTAAGATAATCTGTGCATGAAGTTGCAATATATATTTAGAAACCACAAAATACGGTCATCTCTCACATACTTTTTTAAGATGGCTGATGAAAAGTTTTGTTTAATATCAAAAAAGTCACACATTAATTTGCTTCCCTTTTAGTAGGGGATTTTTAGTAAAGAAAAATGAATATTTCTTATGCATTTGTCCAATTAAAGAAAAACATCATTAGATTAATATGTAATTCCCAAGTAGGAAACACCAGACTTAACAAATGGTAGCTGTTCTCTCATATGTGGAACACTAGCTGTTTAAGTGCAGAGCAGTATGCCAAAATAAATCCCTCCTAAACTGATTCCCAGATATACCAATTTGCACCTTGATTAAACAGTGCTCTGAGTCTCAGACTACACGGTGCATGCTTATACAAGACAGCTGAAGTTGAATGATGACATTCAGGTCAGAAACACCATGAGCAATGCAGTAACCCACCTTACAGCTCAGTTGCTGTTAACCAGTATGACTGATTAATACCACTGTATCACTAGTACTGTTTTATAGGCACAACTGCAATGCACAACTGAAACAAGAGCCCTTGAAACAGAACCAACTGCAACAATTATATCCACAAAGGATACCTGGAGGACAGCACAGCTGTGTTAATGGGAACTGTAGTGGCAGCAACAGCTGTTAACATTAACTACACCTGCTGAATCCTGCTGGGTCTGCAAGGCATGGTTTATAATCTCAGGTGCAGCATCTGCTAAACTTCAGAGATAACTTTCAGAAGAAGGTATAGGGCAACAGCAGTCTGCAATTCCCTGTGATACACCTCAGCTCACTGTGGGCAAATCCCTGACCAAGTTGCCTTGCTACACCTGTGCTGTACACATGACAAAGCATAGCAAGTTTGTATTCTGTAACCCGGTTACCCCAGTACTATTGCAGAGCTCTTAGCAGTGAAACGTACTCATCAAAAGCAGCACCTTTACAATTTTTTTCCTATTTCTAGGAAAATACATTAAAGGTTTAAATAATTCACCTTAAAAAGCATACATTCAATATAACTTTTCCATGTTCTGCAAAAAGAGGTTTTGTGCACACATTAAGGTAACAGCCTGAAGTTTCTTACCCATATGAGAAAGCATCATTTGACCTCCACTTTGAAATAACTGAAGCTGCTAATCCAGCCAATAGAGCAGTACAATCAAAAAACATATGAAAAGAATCTGATATTAAACCTAAACTGGAAAAGAACAGAAAAAAAATGTTATGTTGGGCACAAGAAAATACAGAGCATTCAATCTTTTATGCACTAGAAGAATACACTACTTCTAAGCCTCTGCACAGTTCTGCTAGCTCAGGGGACAAACCCACACCAGACCACCGATATCAGTATGCTGACAAGGGCAGTTTGTGTGCTGACAAACCTGCTTTTGTCAGCCTAGTGAGGCTGCTTTGAGAGACTGCTTAGCAAGAAATCCATCTGGCATATGTTGGGATGATGGATGGGAGGGAATTCCATTGACACAATTCAAAGCCCCAGAGGTAGATACAGCCACAAATAATAAACACTCTGCTTATTAATAAGAAAATAACCATGGAATGGTGGACAAGACATGTTTATCTGTTGTCTTTATGACAGAACTCCCCCACAAGGTGAACAGAATTAGTGTAACATCTAAAAACCTTTGAAAAGTCTATCAAAGAATTTAACTTTAGAAAACAACTTAGAAAAAAAACACCTCATTTTTAATACATATCTTCTAAAAGAACTTTATTTATTTCACCCAGTTACAAAATATCTTTCAACTCTTTCAGCAAATACTTAGGATCTGTAGAAAGCTACTGTAGATTTTTAGAACACCTATTATTTATACACACAGCAAACGAGACTTTTTTCTAAACAAAATTTAAGTTCAATTTCTGTGTTCTAGTAGTTCTACTTCCTGACAAAAATGTCATAACCAGAAAAAATTCTGCTTATCAGGACTATGATCATGAGCGTGTTTACCCAAGCACTGTAGGTATTTGTATTACAATGAAAATTAAAAATAATAGTAATAATTAATCTAGGCAATGTCTCAGCTGAGCCACAAGCTAAATGAACAAAGTTTTGAACATTCACAAAATGCAGCTCACTAGCAACGTCAGCAATACAAGTAACACAAGCTTTGACAGCTGCCAGAGAAATACTCCTTCACAGCATGGATAGCTCTTAATAGAATTTTCCCTTATGTACTGTGATCAAATCAAATCCATCTTTTTCATATCAGGGTTTTCTTCAAGTTAGATTAAAGATCTGTTATCCTAGGAAAGCCTAGTCTAATATTTATTAGAGAGCATAAAACAAAAGTTTACGCAGAAAAATAAACTAGCATTAAATAAGTACCAATTTTAAAAGGCTCCACATGATGAAAGCTAAAGACTTGAAAAGATAACTTTTAATTTTCACCCACTGGTAAGGTTCAATTGAGCTATTTTCAATAAATGGCTCACTTCACCTCTCGATATCAGCTGGTCAATGATACCAACAGGCAATCAGCTGCTAAGGATCATCCCAAATCTGGACCAGAACCACAGTAAAGTATAGAATATCAGCACAACACATCACTGAGATGTGCTATTTCAGCAAATAAAAAATGTAAGGTTATCCAGTGACTGTCTTGGAAGGAGTTTAGTGCATTGATTTTCTTCTGAAGTCCCAGCTATCTCTCTCTCCAACACACTTCCAGTAGCACCCATTTGTTGTTAGATTCTGATTTATAGCTTGACCAAAATTACTGGTGGCATCAGTACGGGGAGGACAGCTAGATTCACACTGAAGTCAAACACAAAGTTATTGAACAAACTTTGAATTACTCCACATCAACAAGCTAACCCTTTTAGCCTAACTGAAATAAATTCCAGAATTAAGTATTTCAGACAAAAGAGGCAACTGCAAGAGCGGGTTTAGAGGACAGAGAGAACAAAAGTCTTGTTTTATATATTTATATGTCTATATATAAATACACACTTCACATACACACACACACATCTGTGAGACACTTCAGAAAGGGGATGGTATCATTAAAATATATATAGCTGGTACAGCAAGAGACATTAAATCATTCTGGAAAAAGATGTTTAAAAGAAGACAAAAGGCTGGACATGTAGGAAGCAGAAGAATCTAATTCCTTAACAAATTCTTTAAGGGTGGGGGTGACAGCTTCTTGCCCTCCCCAAAAGCAGGTAACATCTCAAGGAAAACAACTTATTCTCATTTTCATACTAAGAAATACAGAAGATACAATGGAAAAAAAAAAACCCAGCACATGCAGGTAAAAGGTAATAAAAGGTAATTAGGGTGACTATAGTCATAAATTTGTAATGCTAATGAAGTGCCCTTTTTTTTTTTTAAATAGTCCCTTGAAAAAGAGGAGTGTCTAAGAACCAACTGCTAGCAAAAAAACCAAATACCATACTAGCTCTATAGCCAGAAGTCATACAGCCAGTAATCATGGCGCTGTGCTCATACCTACATGACTTACCACAGGTACAAAACCAACACAGCTCCACCTCTTTCAAGACTTAAGCAAACATCTCAGAGCACACGGAAGCATGTGGATTTATCAACATTGGTCAGGACAAATTGTCTGCAATATGTTTCATTGCATGGCATAATGTTATAGGTACAGCAATAAGTGGTTCTGCTGCACAAAGGACAGGAAGCCTAGTAGAAGACCAATCTGATTGCATATGATTTTTTTTTTTTTAATGACCTGTGCATTAAAGAGACACAAAAAGTTGGTGCACAGTGATTACTAAGGTAAGCGAGTAATCCAGTTAACCACTAGTAACACATGATACATGTAAGAACTTCCACTGGAATCCATAGGATAATTAGCAGAAACTCTGTAGTAGAAGACATTGCATGTAAGTGAGGACACTTCCAAAGTTGAATAAGTAACACAAATACACGTGTAGTGGTTAATACCTTAGAATAACTCAAGTAGCAGATTTCAACTTCAAGCTCTAAATTAGGAAAACATGGCATCCAAATCCATGATGAACATCTTTGTGATCATCAAAATCTCAAAGAAGTTGTAGGAGGATCGTATAACTTACTGTTTTTGGTCATTTAAGGAAAAATACAAAGCAACTCAGCAAACAAGAAGTTAGAAATATATAAGAAATAACAATTAAAAGGGAAAAAGAAAACTGACAAAAAAATTTAACTTGTTATCAACAATTTTGGGGGCTGAAATCATACATTAATTTTGAAATAAGAGAAGTGGAGATAAAGAACTCACAATTACGTGCTTAAATTTAAATGGATAAAAGCCTATTTTTCAAAATCACAATCAAACAAAATCCATAGTCTGGCAGTCAAGAGAAGAATTACCTGTGTAATCATGGCAGCTTTTAAATCTTGCCACCCACCTCATTAGCATTATGAAGGACACTGGAAAGTACAAGTCAAGATCATCTTCAACATGCTTCTAATGCCTGCAGTATCAAGTATCACTTGTCATACTCAAGATAGGCCAAGATAGCCCTGAAATAAAGGTGTGCTCCAAGACGATACTGAAAATCACCTTCAGAAGCATTCTATTTCTGCATTTCTCATGCTGACAGCCGAAGGAGCTGTGCTCTCCAGATATGAGAATTAATTTTCCCTATATGGCTCTTTGTTTGCTTATTATGTATTCGTTCTTTCAAGACACCATTCACTTTGGCTGTGGAAACACTTCTCTATCAAGGAGATACTTGATAAAACGCTTTTTTGTTTAAGCCTAAAACCTAGACTCAAGGTAAAGATATCAGAATCTATTAACTTGAAATATAAACGAGAACTAACTAATGAATATTCAAACCCTAATTTTTTAACTTCCATACCAAATGAATCAATACGTTCTCTCAATTCCAGCCAAGTCAATTCTTCAAATTTCAGACAAGTGTCATTTCACTTTCTTACCTCTGAGCAGGACCTTTTCTGCTACAGATTTATTTCCTTGTTACACTATCAAAAAATATTTTGCTTAAAAGAAAGATCAAAAACTTTTATGAACGCATACTATAATAGGCAGACTGTATACACAAAAGTCCACACACAATCTGCAAAGTGAATCAACAAAGTCAAAACTAAGTATATCCAAGGTAGTCTGCACAGTGCGGAGACAGTCTGTGCCCAAGACAAAGTGGTGCTGTTACCAGTGTGACAGCAGCAACATCTGTAGTCAAGAGTAAGCATTTTATCGTGTGGTTTGAGAGATGTAGAAAAAGATGATAACTGGAAGGGTCCAGCTGTTTCCAAATCTGCACCGCTGCTCTTGTAAGACTCCTGATCAGAAGTTTCAGCAATATGTGCTTGTACTGCAACTTTTGATGAGGGTCTCCAGGTTCAGTACACAACAACACACCGTTGGGCTTAACACACGCCCATGGCAGATCCCTGAAGTACCAACTTGGACATACCACCATTGAGAAACTCAATCAAAGATCAGATGAAGACGCTACATGATCTGCTCTCCGTTTTTACACGACACAGCTGTGCAGAAGTTACTCTACATTTCCTGATTACGTGTTACTGTAAGTTCTCCAGCAGCAATTTAACCAAGTCCCTACTATCCTTCCCAACTCTGCAGATTTACGTGCTATGCAAAGCACCACTTCGCTATACCGGGATGCTTCAATCCTCATTTCTCACTCAGGGCCGAGGACAGTCAGTTCCTACCACCCAGCTCGCACTCCACAAAGCGCCATCCCCAGAACGACCCCTGCGGAATCGGTTACAGCCCCCAGCTCCCGGCGCTCACCCCACGCCCGGCTTCTCCCCCCTCTCGCCGCCCCCACGAGAAATCTCCTCGGCCGCCAGCGCGCACCGCCCGCCCCGCGGGGCTCCGGACGGGAGAGCGGCGGCCCGTCCCGCCCGCATAACCCCGAGCCCCGCGAGCCACTCCGTCCCGCCCCGGCCCCGCCGAAAGGAGACGTGGCAGCGGCCAGCCGAGACGCGCCGCTTCCTGCGCGCAGAGCCGCCCCGCTCCGGGCCCCGCCGCCGGTACCTGTTACTCCAGATGCCGTACAGCAGCTCCACGAAGGCGAAGGAGAGGTTGAGGCAGAGGAAGAAGAAGAGGTTGCGGGAGGTCTTGTCCGCCAGGATGGACCTAGCGGAGAGCGCGCGGGGGTCACGGCCGGGTCGCCGCGAGGAAGCGGCCGAAGGCGCAGCCGCTCACCCGGCGGCCCCGGCATCGCCCCCTCGGCCCTCCGCGGGGGTTGGGTTGGGTCGCGGGCCCGGTCCCCACGGCGCCCCGCCCCGGCGCCTTTACCTGAACCATCCCGACACCTTCCTGAGCAGGTTGAGCCGAGGCGGCTTGTACTCATCGTCCTTAATGGAGAGGGGCAGCATGGTGCCGGGCCGCGACCAGCGGTGCCGGCGACGGGCGGGGCGGGAGGAGGCCCGCGGGCGGCCTCGGCGCTCGCTTCCGGTCTGCCGCCCCGCGCCTGCGCGGCCGCGGCGCCCGGGGCTGCGGCGGGGCGGGGCGCTTTTTGCTGAGGTGGCGGCGCGCTGCGGCCGCCGGGTGGAAGGCGGTGCGGAGGCCGCGGCGGCCGATTACAAAACTCAAAAGCCGAACGCGCCCTCGCCGGCCGTCCCTCGGCGTTACGCCTGCGACGCTTCAGATGCGCTGCGGTCCCCGCGCCCGCCGCTCCCGAACCGGCCAACGGGGCGTCCCCCGCAGAAAGCGCCCGCCCCGCCCCGCGCTCCAGCGGGCTGCGCCCCCGCAGGCCGCGCCGCGGCCGAGTTCGCGCTGCCCGCGGCGGCGGCCGGCAGGAAGCGCGGGCCGCCCACAGGAAGCGGGCGCGTTGGCGCTGCCGGCCGGGCTGTCCCGTCCCGTCCCCGAGTCACCGGAGCGGCCGAGCTGCGGCGCCGGGCCCGGCCGCGCGGGGCTCAGCGGGTAGGCGAGGCTGCAGTCGGCGGTGCTGCGGGAGGCTGCGGGGACGGGCTGTGGTAACGCTCTCGGAGCGAGGGTTGAGGCATCGCGCGTCTGCTTCCAAGTCGCGTTTGCACCGGTTCTGGTCCGTCCCGCAGGGGCACTGTTTTGTTTTTCATTCCGCGTTACGATTTCGTAACTTAATTGGCAAAGCCCATCAGAGTGCTTTCCGACTGGGAAGCGCTGCAAAGCCGATTCGGCAAATTTTGTATTTGAGTAGCTATGTAACACATTCCTGCTTATTATTAACATGCAATTGAGTAAAAAGATATGGAAAGCTGAAAGTCTCCATTATCACAGTTAACGACGTTTAGGTTTCCACGTGCCTCGTGCTTTTACACTTCTGATTAATCTTCGCTTCAGCGTCGTTAAGCACCACTGGGACAGATGGCAACGGGAGGAAGAGAACTTAGGGCTCATCTCCGTAACTCACACATAACAAAAGCATGCTGGGCTTCAGCAAAGCACAGCAGCTGCTGCCAGCTGTTCCTGGGAGCCCAGCGTGTCCGTATAGACTCTAAGGCAAAGCAACCAAAACCGGGGTTCATTTTAGAAAGGGTTTCAGTGACTTCCGCAGCCTCACAAATTCAGATAGTGATAGAAGTGGACATCAGGCTCAGGAAAACATAGGAATGCTGACTGAGGGGCTGTGGGCATACATGCGTTATTATGTGTGCATTCAGTATTGTCAACTACTGTGAAATTCCACATTTTAGAAACCATTAACATAATTTCTTGCTCTCTGAACTGTCACAGTACCATTCTCAAATGAAAATACTCCCTTTCTTTGTTCAACTAGTTTTAGAAAACTAAAATTCTCCCCAACAACCAAAGAAACAAATACAAGTTTATTGCCCTGTATTCTTGTGTAATCCTTGTTTTATGTATTTGCTCTGACTTGCTTTCTGTTCTGCTGCCTGGCATACTCAGTAGGAAAAACAGATTGCATGCTTTAAGCCTGTAATGCACCTGGCACATTTAGTGGGAGGAGAGCCCGAAGGGAACAGGGATGGGTCAGAAACAAAGAAACTGTCACTGGGACTGCTTGGCTTACTGTGGTAGCCAAATGTTTTTATCAGTAGTTCCTGGTGAACAAAATAATGCATTTGAGTTCTTTTCTAACCAGTGACTTAGCCGTTTGTTTCAGGAAAGGTCATTGAAAGGCAGAGACAATTACTAAGCTGAGCAGTAGGAAGAGGGATTGGGTAATTGCCAAGAATATTCACAGCAATCAGTAAGCAAAAAGAATGTTAAAACACCAAAAGATGTAGAGTAGCATGGATGTTAGCTGTTTATCTTCAGTTGCAACTCCTTTTAATTTCCAGCAGATTAAAAGATCACAAACAACTGTTCTGTAAAAACAGCAGGGAGGAACCAATCCCATCTGGCAATAATGAGGTGAGTTTTTTTTAAATAATATAATTCATATCAGACACTGTATATGCACCGTAGAGAAAAGTGATCAAAACTTGTGAAGAAACAAGAATTTTAACTGCTGAGACTGTTCTGGATATCTTCATTTAACTAGAATTCTGTAATGAAAGCCTGAAAAAATAGTGGAGTAACATGTAATATTTACAGGTAAATAACTCCTTAGTAGTAGCTTAGAATATTTATCACATATCCAGTGCATACCAACCACACAACTAGAGGAAGAGGAATATATGAATGACACATCACTTGAGGTACAAATAGCAGGATGCAGTGATTGACAGGTCTTGCTGAGGCCTCAAGAACCAGGACTACCTAAGGGGCTCTTAGTAGAAGAGACTACCTTTGTAGGAGCCACTTTGTAAAGTCTCTTGTGTAGCTCCAAAAGCAGGAGGATCCAGAAATCCCTGCCTTATACTGCAGTTGCAAAAGGTGCCTCAGTAGCAGGCACCAGATCTCCCTTTTCCCAGCTAAGGCACAGCTGCACAGTGCTGGAATTCCTGTTCAAATGTTCTCTATTTTCAGGTGGATGTGTTGGGTGAGGAGTATTAATGTTCAGCCAAAACCACTGTACTGAAAAAATAAGAGATGGCAATCTAGAGTTAAAGGATTACTTTAAGTTAACTTTGTATTTTGCTGTTCTGCAAAAATTAACAAAAAGTGAAAGTAAAAGGCAAGTAGACATCAGAAATCGATTACCTGAAGTATCTCTCAATAGAAAAAATTTACTAAAGTCCTAAAATTCTTTTGTTATGTAGTCATTTGTTTACCTGAATGAATTTAGGGTTATGCAAACTTTGCTCAAGGAAAAAGAGATGTCTGTATGTGGGATTAATAAGTTTTCCTTTTCTGTCACTTCTTTTAAAGGTATTTTTACCTCTGTAAGCTTCCAGGAAGAGTTATGGGAATTCGCCTACTACGCTTTACTTCTGGGGTGATCATCATCCTACTTCTTGTAGCAGGAGCTTTAACAGCTTTGCTTCCCAGTATTAAAGATGACAAGACACCTAATTTTAAAAGGGAATCAAAAACCCAGAGTTGGCCTGCAGTAGATTCATTTACTCTTATTATGCAGACATATAACAGAACTGACTTACTACTGAAGCTATTAAATCATTACCAAGCTATCCCCCATTTACATAAAGTAATTGTTGTGTGGAACAATATTGGAGAGAAGACACCAGAGAAAATGTGGAATTCCTTAGGCCCTCATCCCATTCCTGTTATTTTTAAAGCTCAATCTGTAAATCACATGAGGAACAGACTCCAGAGCTTTCCTGAGCTGGAAACAAAAGGTAATGAGCAAGCCATATTACTTTTAGTTATATTTATATATGTAAAAGCTATATGCTTGTTCTTCTCACAAAGAGACAAAATTGCTCTTTACAGGTTCTTAGCAAGGCTAGGTGAAGTACTTACAGATAGGTAAAGAGTAATGTAAAGAAAAAAAAGCTGAACTGTTAAACTCACCCAACTATCAACAGAGCTGCTCAGACAGAACAGTACCTCCTTCAACTAGGAAGCAGCCTAGCTCTGAGAGGTAACCTCTCTTTAGTGGCTGGCCCTTATATGAGCCCATGAGCTCCACCCTGGATCCACCTGTTGTGGTCAGCTGGCAGCACAGGCGCAAACAATTTGCCTGTACTTGCTGGACTAGTCACACCCCTTCAGCAGGTGCTCAATCACCTCTCCAAGTCCTGACCTAACAGTTCCCCTACAGTGCTATAAAAGAGATAGCCTGAGTTGTACTACGTAGTAAATCTTGAACTTGTTAGGCTGTTTGATAGAGTATAGATAATGCAAAAGTAGCTCGTATAATAGTATTTGGATAGCAGTAGGATAGGAGAATCTAGTAAGAGTAAATAGATAAAGATACCTTATGCATTTTGTTGAGTTTTGCAACCATATCTATTTTCTATTGCCTTTGTTTAGTAAAGGTAGGTAGTTCAGTCTCTCTTCTCGTGTTAGTGTAAACTGAAGCTCATAGCGTATGTGTCTGTTGAGTCTCTCAATTTAAACTTAAACTATCTGTTTTATTTAATCCATTAATTTTAAGACAAGGTTCTCAACCATCTTCTGCTATTCAGATGAGCTTATTTCCCTGTCTGACTTCTAATCTCCAATCATACGTACTTTTTAACAGTATCTTCCCCAGTCTTTGGCCATTCATCTAAGTATTCTTTCTAACCTTTTTCTAGGAGAAGCACAACAATGAAGCCTATTTGTTTCTACTGGGGGGGGGGTGAAATGTTGCATTACAGACCTGGCATTACTTGTAATTAGTAAGGGTAATTTTACTTACTGTTTTGCTTCTTAATGTACCTCAACCTATGTTGCTAGTAAGATACTAGAGAATTCACTTTCCCTAGTGTTCTTTTCTTCTTCTTTTTTTTTTTTCTTTTTTTGTGTTGACTGTCTTTTAAATAGTAACAGGATTGTGCTGGCTGTAAATGTAGAGGCTTTAATGTATCTGGAGTTGAGACATAAGAATATCTTCTCTCTTCTAATAGCCTTTTGTTTATAATTTAAAGCAAAGATTTTTTTCATTTATGGTTAATCATATTAAATGTTGCTGATGCAATTTATTAAGTTTTCTTATTTACAACTTGTAAATAGGGAGGAGGTGGGTAAAAATTCTGTACTTCAAATTCCTTATAAATCTCACTTGCTAAAGAATGGTTTCTAATTTCTTGGCTGTATATTTCACAAGTTTAGTACAAGTTGAACTTGTTTTGCCAAGTACATATTCCAGATTTTCCAACATACATTCCTTGAGCTGCACTGCAGATAGTTATAGGTTGCTGGGTTTTATTGTAGGCTAGTAAATAATGTAAAATTTAGTGTAATTTCCAGTTATTGCAAAGCTATAGCTAGCTTTGTTTTAGCTTTGAAATCTGTTTTCTGATTCTGCTTTCGAGGAGTTAGAATTCAGATCATCAATGTAGCTTACTTGTTATAGGAACTTCATGGTTTATCGAGTACTGTATTGCATACCATGCACAGGTATTTTAATCCTTTAATAAAACTTTCTTTTTCTTTAGCTGTTTTAATGATGGATGATGATACACTCGTCAGTGCTCATGACCTTACTTTTGCCTTCTCTGTTTGGCAGGTAATGTTTCCTCCTTAGCAGGCAGCATGTGTGAGTTACAATTGAGATTAATGGGTTTAATTAGAAAGAGTAGTACTATATCATAGTGATCTACCATTGCTTTTCTTAAATTAGATTTTAAAATACACAAAGATTAGATAGTAGAACTTGCAAAAATATTCTTCTACATTACTTATACCTGTAATCCATAGTTTTCAAACTCGTAATCCTTCTCACATATGCACGCATTAGCTGCTGATTGCTGAACTTAAGTAAAATACCACCAGAAGTGTTTTTTCTAAGAGTTGATTGCCAAGTATGCAGCTGCAAATTGAAGATAGATGTGGAATGAGGCAAATTACGTCAATTTTGTAAAACCGTACTTAAATGCAATGCTCCTGTAGACTGAAGGAGTGTATACCAACAGTTTTGTTCTCCCTTTTCTGGCTATAAGCTTATGCTCCTCTCATTTAAAAAAAAAAAAAAGACCAAGTCTTTCTTGAAAATATTCCATGTCTTTTGATTTCACAGTGTGCTCTTCATGTGTGTGTTTTCAATTTCTTTTTCTTTCAGCAATTTCCAGAACATATAGTGGGATTCATTCCTAGAAAGCATATCTCTACTCCTTCAGGTGTATACAGTTATGGCAGCTTTGAACTGCAAAACCCAGGATTTGGAAATGGAGATCAATATTCTATGGTTCTTATTGGTGCAGCATTTTTTCATTGTAGGTATTTAGAGGACTTTCAAAGACAACCAGAAGCTGTTTACAGTTTAATAGATGAAACTCAAAATTGTGATGATATTGCCATGAATTTTCTGGTAGCAAAGCATACTGGAAAGCCTTCAGGAGTGTTTGTGAAGCCTGTTGATATAAGAAATTTGGAAAAAGACACTAACAGTGGCTATTCTGGGATGTGGCACCGAGCAGAGCATTTGTTACAGAGATCTTACTGTGTAAATAAATTGGTTAATATTTATGATGGCATGCCTTTGAAATATTCTAATATAATGATTTCCCAGTTTGGGTTTCCTAATTATGCCAATCACAAAAGTAAAGTGTAAACCAATGAATTTAGGGGGTTAGGTGGTAATATTCAGTGAGTTCTACCGAGTACAATGAAAGAAAAAAGTGTAATTACTGCATCTTGGCCATCCTTATTGGCAGCCTCCGAGTTTCTTTCATATGGCATTTTATGTCATTCTCCCCTCCCACTCTTTCTTACCAATCACCAAGGTAAATTTTCAGAAAATTTTAAATATATATATCTTAATGTTTAGTCATAATATAATCTTTCTCTTCCCACAACCTGAGAAGTGTTTACAACTAGGCCGTGTCAGAAACACGCAGCCAAGAATGTACCCCTATGCTTGAGTGTTCATAATCTGATTTTTATTTTTATTGTGTACCTAGCTAAGGAAGTGTGGGTTTGCTGTGTATGGAGATGCTTCCTTCCCCTCCCCTTCTCCTCCACACACTTCCTACTGAAACTGTAAAAGGGTTACAACAGACTAGCCTTCTAGACTCCTGTACAAAACTCCTTTACATCTGTATGTAAGCTTTGTATTCTGAGATGTTCCTGAAGCTGCTGTGAAGGTAAACCAGAAGAAGGGTACCCCGCTTTGATCTTAGTCCTAAAACCATTGCCTACAATATCTACTACTGCTGAGGCAGTGAAAAAGGATCTCTTTAATACAGCTTTTTTTCTTATTAATAATTCGCCTAGAATTGCTGAAACATTGCAGACAGTTTGAAGGTAAAACTTAGCAGTTGGAGATGAAACACTTGAATACACAAAATATGAAAATTATATATGCAGTCAAGTCAATGAGATTTTTTTATCAATACTGCCTTTAGTATTTAGTTTTCTTTTGGTATATTGTGTGTATGTTGTTACAGAAATGTGCCCAAGTGAATCTTTATTTCTAAGATGTCTTATTTACAATTGTTAACGAGAGCATGCTGCTCTACATTTTTCTAGTTTGTACATTTTGTAATATTACAAGTCTACCTTTTTTACCAATCTTTCACATGAATGATTACTTTTTGATTCCTTTTATCTCTGTTCTTGGCAGCTATGACAACAGAATTAAAATGTGCAATAAATGTGTAAAACAATGTGTTTTAAGGTACAGTGCTGTGTGACAGGGCTGGACTATTATCAGTCTTTGAATTATGTGGCTCAGTCTGTGGCAAGAAAGAGCAATTTTTAGTAACTTCTGTTTTATTAGAAACAGTGTTAACATAGGAAAAAAAACTTTCATTGTAGCTACATAGCTATTTTGTGGTATGGATGAAAAGCAAAAAAGCAGTGATTTTTTTTTTATCAGAAGAATCAAATCTGACTTAGGTTTAATCCCATCTACATCAGTTTTAATTTATTTTCAGTACCAGTTCAAAAGTTGGTAATCAATAGCAACTCATGTCTACAATGAGCTGCAAACATCTACACAACTGGTGTGTGATTATTTTTTAACAAGCTACCTGGACAAAAACAGTCTTTGAAAAATGTGACATTCTTACAGCTGTTTCTGGATGTGGACTCTTTGGGTTTGTTTCTGGAGTACAGAGGATTCTTTTATTTCGTTATATCAGTGTTAAAGAATTTATGTTCAGTGAAGACTTCCTAATATTTCTATAAGACTTAAAGAAAAAAGCAAGCTTTGTATATCAACTTAAAATCTGTTCAGTTTTGTTGTAAATTGTATTTACTGGGCTGTGGTGATAAGTAAAATCCAAACAGAACTATGTGAGACTTCTAAAAGTGCAACTGTACTAGTGGTAGCTTCATGCATTTCATTCATTTACTGGTCATATTTAATCTCTGTTCTGTACAGTATTATTTGTTACATTCTCACGATTTCAGTTGTGTTTTACCTTTTAAATTGTGAAGTGAACTGTCAACTCAGCTAAATCTTAATCTTGGGCTTTTTTCTTTGAGGGAAAAGAGATTGTTTTGGGCTTTTTGTTTTGTGGTGGTGTTTTTTTTTTTTTTTAGCAGGGAGCTCTTCTGTATCAGTGAAGGAATGAATAGAAAAGTTTTTATTATTCTGGTAAATTTAATTTGTACTTTTGTCAAATAAAATACATTAATAGATTTGTTCTGTATTTATTTCACATAAAGTGTAATACCAAGTTTTCAGTATTAGATGTCTGGAATAAGCTCAGAAGTTCAATACAGATGAGCAGTACCAAGAGCTCATTTAAAAATAAAAAATATTATGGGTATTTGCTGGCATATGATAATTTAGGTAAGGCTTATGTGTGACAATAATACAAGTATAAAAATAACACCACCTGAAACAAGGTAGACATAAAAAGTTCAAAGGTCAGACTTCAGGTCTAGCCATCATTCATTTTGCTTAGGAATGGAAGAAGTTTCTTTGTTTTAAAGGCTGATAATTTTTTATAAGTAATGAATTTGTCCCTTGGTGGTTATAGAAGTACCTTGAAATTCTTTGAGGTATTGTACTAAGAATTTAAGTATTAACAATTTCTTTTTATTATGATAAGAGATTGTGTAAATGTCATTTGGAAGTATCTTGGAATCTAAGCAGATCTATCACTGCCTCTGAGTTTTCTGTAGAAATCAGTGTTTGTGTGACACAGGGTCTTATATGTGGTATCTGAAATATGTACTTAAGAAATCTTTTATTGAAAAAAAAAAATCAAACTATTTAAAAAAATTTACTGAGAAGTACAATTTTGTATTTTTTTTTAAGAGGATGCAGTCCTGAAATTGTTCTATAGTTGCTTCTGTAGTTCAAAAAAAAAAAGCCACAAGATGTCACTGTAGGCTTGATCAAATGATCAAATGTTAGAAATAGCACTTAGAAGTGATTATAATGAAAAGTATGAGGTGAAAACATTCTGAAAGCATTTTAAAAGGTTTAGTCATACTATAAAAGCTAAGAGGAAATGCTAGAACTAAAAATCCATAGCTATTACATTTTCACAGGGAGAAAGGAGACTAAGTACTTTCTGTGCTTAAAATGTATCTAATTGCCACTAACTGTATCTGCATGTAATCACAGCAGTATTTGTGATCCTGCCAAAGACATGTAAGCTATCTGACTAGCTTTTGATAATGGGACTTAGCTGTGTTTGCACCCCAGATATACCAACCTATGTAAGATGTACTTGCAAAGCATAGGCTTAAGCACAGAATTGTCTAGCTTCAGATTCTAGATACTGGGTATGAACCTTGTCACACTGTTCCATCTTTCCTTCTATTGGCTAAGATACCTAAATTAAAGCTCCTTTGAGTATGCTTATATGTACTCTTAACATGTAGCTTTGCATGTGCTTAGAAATGTATGTTGCACTGACTTGTAATGGATGTTTGAGTAAAAGGGGTGCTAGGGAGATATGGTTATGAATCTGCTCCTTAAAGAATTTCTACCCTAAGACCTTGTGAATAAAGTATGGAGTATTTAATTTATTTAAGGATAAAAGTAGAAGAGAGAGACATATAGCAGAAGATGAGCATGTTGATTTATATGCAAGCGAACACTACCCTACAACAACCTTTTTTGTCTCAGTTCTAACACAAGACTATGGCCTTGCAAGCATCTTCTACAAAAGAGTACTTAGTAAGTTCCTAAAGTTCATAGAGGTTCAAAGATATCATATTTATGTTCTGGAGCTATGAAGAAAAAAAAAAGTAAGAATGAAGTTACAAATTATTAGAGTAGTATCAAAAAAGTAAGTAAGCAATGGTGAAACTAATAAATGCATGAGAAGTGCTTCCTGTAGTATTTAAGCACAGATTAAAAATGGAAGAGGGGAGTGCTTTGCTGTGCTGTTTGGCCTCACCTGCAGCACATAGAAGGGTGTGAAATGGCAGTAACAATTATTTTTGTTACAAAAAGATGGTGGCAACAACACAGACCGCAGAACTGAGTAGAACTTTGTATTGTAATGAAGCATCCTTGTTTCTTCTTACGAGAGCACATCTCCTGAGCTGCTGTTTGGTGTGGGGATGAGCTGTCTGTGGCACTTACAGGCTCTTTTTGAAGAGGTGGATGGAGGAAAGGCATTTCTATGGAAATCTTTTAAAAGGCGTTTGTTCAAGAGTTGGTTAATTAAACTATAGGCTAGTTTAGCTACTGTGAATCAACCACCACAAGTCAATCTTTCACTTAAACAGACAAAACCTAGCCTAGTGTTACCACAGACTTAGCAGCGTGTGCGAAATGTCCTGCCGCTGCGTGACTTCTAAGTGAGAGGGAATCCCGACCCCACGCGTTAGGGGTTCCGCACGCTAAGGCTGTGCGCCCCCAGGACCCCGTTCCCGCCTCGGCGCTCCTCACACAGCGCGGACCGCGGCGATCCCCAGAGGCGGGAAGGGGCGCTGTTGAGGCTATCCCCGGTCGGTCCGTGGCCGGGAGCAGCCCTTTCTTCAGCTTGCGCCGCTCATAGGCAGGAGAGTTGGGCAGGCAGCGTGTGATTGGTGGGTCTGCCTGTCCATCAGACGAGAAGGTAGTGCCTGCCGGGCCCGGACTTCGCAAACACGAGTCCCAGCTCGGGGCTGAGGAAACGGCTCTTCTGGCGCCGCGCGACACCTCCCTGCTCCCCTTCCTGCAGCGAGGCAGTTTGTGCCCGGCCTGCCGGCCCACTCATGTCCGCTCCTCGCCGGGGAGATCCTAGCTCGGCTCGCTTCCCGCCGTCTCAGATCTCGCGAGCCGGGCACCGGAGCGCTCCGTTTCCTCGGGCCGCTCCACAGAGCGCAGCCCCGGGGCGGGGACGGAGCAGAAAGGAGCGCCGCGGGGCGCGGAGGCGCTGTCCGGGCGCGAGGCTGGCCGCGCTCCAGCGGGGCGGAGGGCGGGGCCGTGCCTGGCGAACCCGGGGCACTGAGAGGCGGAGGGCGGGGCCGGGGGGGCCGAGGGGGACGCCCGCCCACCCCGGCCCCGGCCGGAGGAGACAAAGGCTCGGGATCGCCGTCGCTACAGCGCCGCCGGTCGCCTGGTAACCGCTCGCGGCCGCTTTGTCCGGGGGCGGCTCCCGGCCGGCCGGGGTGGAGCCGAGGTCTCTGCGGGCTACCGCCCGCCCGGCGGCTCGCCGCGTCCCGAAGCCGGCTCTCGCCCCCGCTCCGGTTCCTATGCGGGTGGCGGCGCTCCCTGCAGCGTGGCCCGCAGCGGGCGGTTCCTCTGGGCGGCGGGTCGCGTCCCTGCGAGCGCGCCTCGGCGCTGCCCCGGAGCGCCATGAGCTCGGAGCCGCCCCGCGCCTCGCTGCTCCGCGCCCTGTTTAAGATGGAGCCGGCGGCGGCCGCCTCCGAAGTGCTGGGGGGAGCCTCCGAGTTCGTGAAAGGTGAGAGCGGGGGCTGCGCTGCGCTGAGCTGCGGAGCCTCCCTCGGGCCCCCTCCTTCTCCTCCTCCGCGCACTTGGCCGCCTCCGTCGGTCCCTTCTTCCTCGCGGTTCTCCTGAGCCGCCTGCCCCGCTGCCGCCGCGGGGAACGCCTCGGTAGTTTTTCCTCCGCTGCTTTGCGGGTTGCGGGTCGGCACCTGTTGCCGAGCGGCGCTGTGCGCGGGACCCGAGGCGGCTCCCGAAGAGGCCCGACGCAGCGGGAGCCCCGGGGCCGGGCCGCTCTGCGCAACGCGGCCGTCCGCTGTTTTTCAGATCGCCTCTACTTCGCTACTTTGCGGAATAAGCCCAAAAGTACGGCGAACACCTACTACTTCTGTACTGACGACGAACTGGTCTATGAGAAGTAAGTGTTAAACAGCTTTTTTTGGTTTAAATAAAAAAAAATATAAAAATCTACCAGAGCTACTAAAACATCTCTAAACGGTGGCTGAGCAGTTGCGTCGTAGCTGATCTAGGGCAGAGGGTATCTGGGCTGTCAAGCTCCATTATAAGTCGGAGAAGATTTCTTAACGCTAATTACATCTTACTAAACGGTGTCTTAAATAGAAGGTTGCTTGGTGCGGCTGCGTGTGAAACAACAGATCATTCTCGTGCTCTCCTGTAGCCAGAGTATGAAGCGATCACCTTTCGTGCAGAATCATCCAAATGCGAAACTTTGATTTGTGTTTGAATCACATCTGCAACTTATTTTAAAGTTTTTAGATAGCACTTCCTGTTGGCTTTTGTAGCTTTTTAAAGCAGAAGAGAAAGCATTCTGTGAAGTAACAGCTTCTAGTGCCTGGAAGATACTGAAAGAGCAGGAAACCAACAGTTAATTTAATTGTAGGTGGAGTTCTACAAAGAAACATGAAGTATACACAAAACAAAGTAATAGCTCTGTGCTGTAGTTACAAAGTCATTGCTCTAGATTATGTTCTCAGATAGCTGTTCCTGCATGGTCTGCCACTTGACAGAGGGTTTGCACTACATGGTATTTCTAGTGGGACAAAAAAAATCCTCTTATGTAAAATGCAACTTTTTTTTTCCCCGTGGGTTAAAGAGTATCAACCACATCCTATGCCTGTGACCTCAGTGCTGCTTCTGTGAAGGTGCATAGAAGTTTTCCTCCAGTTTGCAGCTTATCTTCTATGCAAAGCTTACAGTTCTAGGGTGTGGTTTGGTATTTTTTAACATGCGTTTGAGTCTTCATTGTTTTCAGCTGTCTATTTTCTAGTGGAGCTCCTGATGATCCTTTCTCAAAGTTAACTTCTGTAACTTCCTGTTTGGGTTGGGGGTGTTTTCTGTAACAATCATTGAAGCAAATTCAATAAATGTACCCCTTAATCTACATATCAGCTCACCATGCACCATGTAATATAATATCAGATAAACAAGATAAAGAAGTCTTTGCTTTCTTCTGTTATCTTCTGGGGTGTTTTTAAGACTTTAAGCATGTAACTTGTGGTATGCTTTCTGAGTCGACGGCTTGTAGTCTATTGGGACCTTTTCTAAAGGCATCCTATTTTTGATACGGTAACAGTACTCATCCTGTTGTATTCTCAAAATAGTAAAATGTAAAATGAAGAAGGAACTAAGTGACAGTTGCCAGGTGGCATGAATGCATCTGTATAATAACCTAGCTCTTCTAGATAAGCAGTGCTAAATTTTCCATTGATATTTGCAACATGGTGTAGGCAATATTTGATAGTAAAACCATGCCAAAAATTTTACTTATTTTTCCTTTCACTCTCATCTCTAAGAGAGCTTGTAGTCTCAGGGAAGTAAAAGCAGATGCTGACAGGGTTACCACATTATATTTTTTATCAGCACCTTTCTGAAATTTGGAAGCTAGTACTGAAAAGAGAAATAAAAAACAAGTCAGGTACTGCATAAGAAAATCCTGGTTCTACTTACTATAGGTTTCCTTTACGCTTTTCAGTGAGCTAAATGTTTGTTTGCTGTACTTCCCAGGCTGCACAGCAAAAATAGGCCCTGACACCTAAGTTTGTCTCTAAGTAATAGTAGAACCCAACTTTCAACACCAAGTTGGGACTCTCGATAGCTCTCTCAAAAATGCAGCCTTTCCGAATAAATAGTTGGAAATATTCATGTGATAGTGAATTGAAATTTGAAAGTTAACTTGGTGTTGTACCCCAGAAAGGTATTTTCTAGAGTCTTCATTCAAAATGACCTACCCGTGCTGCTCTTCCTCATGAAAATTTCTTGGCTGCTTCTGCTTTGTAAACACACTAGTTCAATTAGTTGAGAGGAGGAGGATAGGAGATGTCTGTTCAGG